ATTAAGAAATATCCCCCAATACAGAGCAGTAAACTGTACCAGCTACAGCTGGCCTTCCGCAGCAATATGAGACCGTTCTTGAAGAGTAGAGTAATCGCGATGAAGAGGCCAATCGGTCGGTAGACTGAAAAAATGGGAATTTTCAAGCCCTACCGGAAAACGATTAAATACCTAGCGTCTCAATGCAATTTAAAAAATTAAGAAGATGGACAGTGGGTCACCCTGTTTGACCCACTGATTGACGCCTACGGGGTCCATCACCTTGTCATTTAGCAGAAAACGGGCATCAATATAACAATACATCACCTGAACCCAGGAGAAAGTGTGATGTCAACTATCCATTCGAGAATGAATTTGTAACATGTAAGCCCAGTCCACGCGGTCGATTGCCTTTGAAAAATCGATAAACATAGCGATATCGTCTATAGCCGATCTGGAAAATCCGTGCAGTAGATCACTTAGAAACCGTACGTCATAAAGAGGATAACTTCCAAGAAAAAACTCTTTGTGTTCGGCATGGACTAAATGTTACATATGTTATCGCATCCGATAAGTTGAAGCGTAGTCATGATTATGACGGCGACTTGCATCATCGAGATAAGCAGGTAATTGTTAGGGTCCGAAAGCGATCATGACTAATGCCGAAGCACTACAGCCGCTGTGCGTTGAAAAGGGAGTAGGATACCACACCGAAAGTGGTAACAAAATACGAGATAGAGAATCTCGCCAAAGATGTCCGGCGCAATTGAATAAACCATGCCGACAACCCATCAGGCCCTCACATAGACGATAGGCGCAGATGGCAGTTCGTATGTGCCACATTTTCGGCAGCAATAAGTTCGTCCAGTGAGTGTGCCTGCTCTGGAGACAAAGTCCGCTATATCGAGGCTAAAGTTGGTATGTGACGCCTGTATAAATGTCTGGACACTGTAGTGAGAAGCATTAATCACCGAAAGAGCACCCCAATGGCTGTGAAAGATTTCCGTAACTTTGGTAGACTCTTTAGTCTCCTTATTGTCCGAGTGTAATTCAGTTGATATTGGTAAGCGATAGAGAATGACCGTGGTTGCTTTAACAGCCGTGAGCAGGTGTCCATGTTAACAGCGTGGGTATCAAATCCTTCATCCTGACAAGGCTCAATATAATGTTGACGAAACGATATAGCGTGCGCGCGATAGAGCTGGTCTCGAGGTACGCGCTACGTGATATACGGTACTCGTCCTCAGCAAAAGATACAAGTAGTCAAACTTTATAAGCTCGTGAGTGCGGTTACGTCAATCTTTGCTTCCACTACTTTCAATGTCTTGCGGGTTTTGCGTTACCAACCTTCCCATACTAAGCCAGGATTAGTAGCTGAACGAATCGTGTCCAGCAATTTAGCTGCCTCATCTGCGATGGCAGCTGCAACGTACGGGTAGTTGAGAAACCGCCGATAAGAGAGCTAGTTGACCGAAGTCCAGCCTTTTCGATACGTGGCAAGAGTAACACAACGAAGGAGATCGTCTCCATCATGGGTGTGTTTGAAATAAGAAGCAGCTGAATAATGCTGATTTACGAGAAAGGAATTAAGATACATGTCGTCGATACGCCTAACACGAGTTAAACGTTTTTCTTAGACTTTCTCGTCTAGGTAATGCCTACGTCAAGCGTAATTGACGCCAAGAGAAGCCAAAGATCGATTTAGATATTTCTGGAAACACTATCACGCATGTCACTGGATCGATTATTAATCGAAACGTCGTGGGGAAAATTAAGGTCACCGAGAATCATGTGACGTACATCTTTTATATAGCATTAAACAGAAAGAGCCGAATAAAAATTTATCTTCTCTTGACTGCGACGAGGCGCAGATACATTGTGAAAAGGTAATTGACTTAAACGAATTGTGTGGCAATGACAAGATACCTGCCTGAAATTGTCCTGATAGAGATAATACAGGCAGAAGACGCGCCCGTAAATCGAGAAGGTAGTATAGTCATCACTCCCACACGAGATGGATAATCATTGGTGATTCAAGAGGATAAAAAGCGGACTAAAACCAACGATGATGACACTGCCTAGAAACACAGTTTAAAATCTTAGAGCGATGATGGGTTGTGTCGCGAGATTTTGTTTTCCGGAAACACACCAAACCTTATGGCGCAACAAGAAACTCAATGGTCTGATTGCCATTGCGCTTGACGCCACTGATGTTAAAAATAAACATTCGAATGTCACAATAAGGTAAGGTCATCTTAGCACTCCATCATCATCGTAGTACATCAAGGGACTATGGTTGTAAGGGGCACGCGGCAACGTGCACTCACCTGCCGTTGTGACGATACATTGGGCATTTTTCAGAGCATCAAAAAGGGTCACGGATGTACGCAAGTTATTAAGACAGCTTATAGTTGGCCCAGCGTACTTAAAAGAATGCTACGATCGACATTACGATCACCATGAGTGGATTCAAGCATATGTACTGAAGCACCTCGAGCAAAAGCAGTCGTGTTGGGGCGGCGCCGATCAACTGAAAAGATGTCCTTATGGATGGCTGCAGGCGCGTCTGATATCGTCGTGCGGAGGATGTCTGGATCATAGTAGAACAGTAGATCTGGTGGACTGTTGTTCGAAACATGTCTGGAAGATGTTTAGCGTCTTTACGAGATGAAGGCAACGCTATGTCGAACTTGGACTCGGCAAAAAGATCACCGATGGTCTGATCCCAGTCCGCTTGGGTTACCAATCCAGCAGCATGTACCACATTGGCGCAACTGGCTGCGCTAGCAGAAGCGGATTTCAGAGGCGATACGCGTGTATGCAAAATCCATAGCTGGCGAGCAGTGCAAGCTTCGTCAACAGTAGACTTGTATACATCAAGTTGAGCGTCAAGATCAGCCAGGGCTTTGTAGAAATTAGGTGGGAGCCACGACTATTCGGTTGTCTAGTTAAATCAGCCATGGTAGCAATTCCAGTGGCGAGAAAATTAAAATTTGTTTGCCATACTCTTCCACTTAGACGCGGCGGACACAGGAGCAGCTTGGTATTCTTTCGAAGTCAGAAAACCCCCTAACGACAAATTGGTTCCCCTCGGAGCCCCTCGAGGCTACAATTTCCTAGGTGTGGTACAAGAAGCACCACCTGACGCGCCGGCTGATCCATTGGCTGATGCATGAGCGTACCGGGGACGAGAATTATAACGGATTGCGTATCCAATATACCCCCTCTCTAGCTACCGTGAGAACGTGGGGTTTATGGTCCATGGCGAGGCGTGACTGGAGATGATAGGGTGCTTAAGGACGGATACTTGGCGTGTCTCGGTGTTGAACGGGGTACACTGACTCACGTTAAAGAATTTGGTCGATCGCCTCACCGTCAACGTCAAGGCAAGGTGGGGCCGAGTCGGAGCGAAGGTTTGAACCTGACCACACCAGATTGCAGAGCCGTGAGTAGCCCCCAGGTGAACATCGTAGAGCAGGAAGGCTACGCATGAGAGCTAGAGATCAAAGAAGGTTTCTGGACCAATTTAGCCTGGAACGCCGAGCACATTGATGTGGTGGCAGGTGTCAGACCACTGTACGACTTACAAGTGACCTGGTAATCAAGAATGGTCACCACTTCCCACTCAGAGAGTGCTTCACATCGAGCGACTTGGCCCCATTCGAAATTCACCATTTAGTGTGCGTTTCAGAATTTTAATTTGGCTCCTGCGAAGTAACTTTAAAAAAGGTTGTACATCGTAGGGTACTCGGTACCCTGTGTCTTCGACACACGGGATGATATCCACTGAAAATGATACTGAATATATTATCGGTTTACAGGGGCTGAAAAGCGTCAGCTACTGGAGAGAAAGATCTTAAAGATTTTATTTAGGGCATTGATGACTAGATTAGGTATTAGCAGGATTGAGACATTCTACCGAGTTAAACGCTAATAAAGTTCAGTTCCCCTTTTGATCTTGTCTAGGACACGTGCCTTGCGAGGCGTCTATGATCGTAGAGTTAGCAGCACCTCCCTGAGGCAGCTATTCTTGAGCACTAAGTGCTGTAGATTCACTGAATCGTTCGGTCCCCGGATCAGAGACCTTTAAGCTTTTCGCTTGTTGACTCATAGAGTCTAGCTCTTAGCAATAGGTAGTATTGCTCTTTATGCACGAAGTCTTCCTCTGTCTTAAGGAGCTGTGTAGCTTCGCTACTGTAACTACTCGACCTTTTTGTTCCCGTGATCACTGAAAAACCAAGCATTAACCTTATGTGCTCCTACCGTAGAGAGGTAGACCAAACCTCCAGTTCAACAGAGTACGGGAATACTGCCGTAATCCCAGGACTAGGTTCACGCAACCTGCGTAGAATTTGGTCACGCGCCGCCCCGTCGTCGTAGAGCTTGATCGTCTCCAACAAGTCAGATTCAGAAGGTTTGGCGATTTCAAAGGATACTGCCGAGGCAGATTTGCCTTCGACTCGAGACTGGCCCCATCACGAAAAAACGCGGCATTTCCTCGCGTATACGACAATATCGGTAGACGTAACGATTTCTGAGAGGGACGTCCCCCACCAGAACACTAAGTAGACATATGTTCATGAACGACAAGGGGCGATGAGGCTGAAGCGAAAAAGCCTTCAGTAACGGGTGAAGGAGAGGCTGTGCGTTGGTTAGATAGGGCCGCAGTACGCCTGGCAGTCCCCGCCCCGTTAGAACCTGGTGCCACGCCAGCAGGAAATTAGTCTGAACCAATTGTGTTCGGCACAGAAAAGGTAGAAGACTGGTTGTCAAAATTCTCGCTTAGTCACTTAAGTGCATATTGAGAACATCAACTTTGATCTTAAGCAGAGCACAAAGTAGATGGATTGTATTCAAGGCGGGCGAGCTACTGATGTTATGGACCGGAATACACTGAAAATCACTGGCTTTCCATCGTACCTGAGCTACCACGCGTCAAGAGCTACACCGGAGCAACAGCCACATACAATTTACCGCCGTCTTTCTGCACCCGTGTCTTCCCACTCAGCCTGGGCATTAAGATGTCACGACGCGATAGAATAGTGTTTGTACAAACTGGTCTGGACGCCGTCTGCCCATTGTCTGATGAGGAGCAGACGTTTGTACAGCGTGACATGGAATACCTGGCCCGTCGCCGTCAGTCGACAAGGAGTCGTTACTACGGCGACAGCTTAAAAGGTCTCCTTGGGTCATTGTATCACTCAAGTGCGTCATTCACTTTTACTTTTGCGCCCGTTTAAGCGTCTGCTGGACTGTGCGATGAAATCCTTCTTCTTCTTTGCACTCTATATAGGTGGCGTGCAATTGGCCACGGCAGACCTTGTGTTGGACCACGTCGACCCAGACGCCGCGGCACCTGGTGCAACTACACGGAAGCTACGGACCACTAAGCGACTGCTGATGGCTGGTCTTTCTGTCTTGAGTGAGCATGTAGGCGCATCAAGATACGTCATGACCGAAACCATTGGTATTGCCAAGACTCGGTTTATAGCCGGAGACTTCGGACTTTCTGCTGCTCTAATTCATCGGATTCCTCTACCATCTCTTGATTTGCCCGCAGTTTACGATGTCATCCTTTCCAGGGCCAACGTATTGTCGATACAGAAAACAAGTTGAAAGAGCTGGATTCCGCACTCGAGAAGCATCGGCAGGTGATGGCAATCCTGACTTTTTCCAGGCTCAGATTCAAAACATCGTCCGAGCGTCCGTCCTGGGCGACGGAATTTGATCATGACTGTGAGCTCGTTGACGTCCTCGAAGATGCGTGGGGTACAAGCGGTCTGGCCATTAACGTGTATCTGACTAGGCGTGCTCTACCGTCGTACAAACAGGCGGAAGGGATCGAATGGGTGCAGTACGCCAAGTGGTACATGAAGTACACTACTCCTGAGCGGGTTAAGAACGCACGTACGACATGAAAGACATCGACAGGTATCCCCAAATTGCTGCCATCTCACAAAATAGTGTAGTTGAGCACGACGATTTGTACGACAAAGAGCGCACAGTAGCCCCTAGCGCCTTGACGCATACCGTGTTCGAATGAGTGCTGCTTCACCCTTTTTTGTCGGCGAATACGTTATAGTTCTTTGTCCTCTTGTGTCTCCTCTTCAATCTCTTTCACGTAAGTAAGTGGTGTAGATGTAATTTTGGTAGAGCCATCGAGCACAGCTCGTTTGACTCCAGAACTGGTCCACAATAGCTGCGTGTACGTTGCCAAAGTAAGAGGCAAACGACGTCTTGGTGTCGCTCTTTCGCATCTGACGAAGAGGTCTGGTCGGATCCAAGTCCGCATGGCTGCTATGCTTAAGCAGACCAGAGTCAACCCGCGCAGGTTGCCGGCTGGGTAACCTCGGTGGATTGTGGCTGTGGTCCTCAAGCTTCGAACATACGCTCACGCGTGACGGATTACTGAATCGTCTTGTGTAAGCGCATCTTTATCGATTTTGACGGCAATTACGCTGTGGTTCAACTGGATAACTTTTTGCCCGTCCAGTCAGAGCTTCAGCACGGCCGACTACATGAATTAACAAACTGATCACGTTGGCACAGGACGATGCACGTAAGGTGGATGCTAGTGCCTTTGACGACCAACCATATCGACCTGGACGTAAGCACTGGATGCCCTGTGAACAGCGCGGGTTCGGACATGGATACTGTGGATGTTATCTCGATGTGTGGCGGTCCGTTGCAATCAACATTCGTCTGTAAGGCACCAAGATAGAACCTGCATATGTGCTTGTACATGCATACAAGGACGGTAGGTTCGTCACGAGTTGCTCTCCTCGAGATGGAGGCAAGCTGTGTGCCTGTGTTAGCTTTGCGGCTCTCGGTGCACAAAGCGACAAGCAGTTGACAAAAGCCAGATATCGATCTATTGCGGTAACGACAGCAGTCGCTGGATGAACGAACTTGACCTCCATGTGCACACTGTATCGAACCGACTGATCTTTTGGCCGCCATTGACCCACATGTCTACGAGGATGTTGTTTGTTTGCCTACCGAATGATGGCGTCGAGTGCTTGTCAGGTAGTGATGATGTGCATTGCAAAACGAGGAGTGCTGTTGTTTTTCCTTACTTATTTCTACGTACTATCTCGTCGTGGTTGATGAAAGACAATCGTATTGATTCCCGATGTATAATACACATATCGGGAATCAATGCTACGAGGTTGAGGTTGTCAGTAAACAGAATATTGAACCGTCGCGATGTCGGAGATAACGTGTGCGTGGTGTGGTGGAACCGATTATAGGACAGGATGAAGATTATTGTAGGCGCACGAAATGATTGGTTGCGTGTACTACTGGGCAGGGCAAACGGTGGCAGCAGCACCTCGGAGGAACCATTCTTCGTTTTTCTGTTGCTAGCTTTGAATGCGTAGATCGCATGCATTTTATGTAACCAGTGGCTCGTATGATGTTCGCAACTATACCAAGATCTGCTCTGATTTCTTGTGAGGAAAGCCTCTCGGTAACACGAGAGATGAATGCACTGACGAGTTCGATCATTGCTTAAGTTTGTACTTGTGTCATGGAGATATTGTGGGACGCTGACTGTATCGACGTTGGTATAGAGAGACAAGCACCCGTCTGGCGTAGAAAGGTGTGGTTGTCTGTCTTGTGTGTGGTTTCAATCGCTGCTGCATTCGTTTCGCTCTCTGAGTTGTGACTTCAAGGGGGCACCTATTTAATGATCTCGTCGCAAACGCTGCGCTAGTAGTAGAAAGACGTGGGAAGTAGTTCAGTATGAGACGGTGGATCGTGGTATACGGCGCAGCGTCCGTCACCTAATCTAAATGCAACACGTGCAGGGGAAATGTAAAAACATTAGCGTTCGGCTTCTTGCGTTTTGTTGTTAGGTAAAGATTAACAATTATCAAAGTTTCCATACTTGCATCATGCAACCTCTCGTCGGCATATGCTTTAGACTGGACAAGTATCGCGCGGGCGGTCGTATGGATGAAGACTATGGTCCGCAACCTATGATAAGAAAACCGACTGATTTTAAGGCTCATCCGGTGATTTATCGTGCTATATCGTACCTATCAAAGAAAATAGTGAAACATTCAATCGACGAAGCATTCAGTCGTGTCATGTATCAAAGTGTTAATAGACGGACACACCCTGACTCTTTGATTATGCTATAAAAACATCCAATCCCGGTCGTTAAAGAATTAGAGAAACGGGTAGAAGCGGCTCATCTGACTACATTAAAGCGATCTTAGCTCCGCTTTTGGTTCGATAGATTCACTTTCCGCCACAGCTGAATTCGCTGAGGCCCCGTTGGCTCCCATCAGCGTCGATGCAGGAGCCGTCGCCTCGCGACACAAAACTCCAGCCAATTTGAAAGCAGAGGGTTCTTCTTATCCTAGAGACGATTCTATTGAAGTTCAATTGAGAGTGTCTTTCTAAACCTTGTTTGGCATAAATTAAAAAGGTGAATGAATGGCTTAACCGTAGCATAATTACTTTAGACGAACACGGTCTCCCCACACGCATTGCAATTCGCTCAGGCGACGGACGCTGCGCCGTATACCACGATCCACCGTCTCATACTGAACTACTTCCCACGTCTTTCTACTTCTAGCGCAGCGTTTGCGACGAGATCATTAAATAGGTGCCCCCTTGAAGTCACAACTCAGAGAGCGAAACGAATGCAGCAGCGATTGAAACCACACACAAGACAGACAACCACACCTTTCTACGCCAGACGGGTGCTTGTCTCTCTATACCAACGTCGATACAGTCAGCGTCCCACAATATCTCCATGACACAAGTACAAACTTAAGCAATGATCGAACTCGTCAGTGCATTCATCTCTCGTGTTACCGAGAGGCTTTCCTCACAAGAAATCAGAGCAGATCTTGGTATAGTTGCGAACATCATACGAGCCACTGGTTACATAAAATGCATGCGATCTACGCATTCAAAGCTAGCAACAGAAAAACGAAGAATGGTTCCTCCGAGGTGCTGCTGCCACCGTTTGCCCTGCCCAGTAGTACACGCAACCAATCATTTCGTGCGCCTACAATAATCTTCATCCTGTCCTATAATCGGTTCCACCACACCACGCACACGTTATCTCCGACATCGCGACGGTTCAATATTCTGTTTACTGACAACCTCAACCTCGTAGCATTGATTCCCGATATGTGTATTATACATCGGGAATCAATACGATTGTCTTTCATCAACCACGACGAGATAGTACGTAGAAATAAGTAAGGAAAAACAACAGCACTCCTCGTTTTGCAATGCACATCATCACTACCTGACAAGCACTCGACGCCATCATTCGGTAGGCAAACAAACAACATCCTCGTAGACATGTGGGTCAATGGCGGCCAAAAGATCAGTCGGTTCGATACAGTGTGCACATGGAGGTCAAGTTCGTTCATCCAGCGACGGCGACAGTCTCTTAGCTGCCGACACAAACTGCCTTTAATCGATACAACAGCAAAACTTCAGGCTCGTGCACATGTACCCACAACTGTATTAGTAGCTGGTTTCGTGACGACCGTTCGGGTGCCTTTCGTCCAAGCAACCACCCCTGTGCTGCGTCCATTCGTCAGCATTCGTCTACGCCGCAAACTCCACGCCAATCTTGACCTTCTCCGCCTGTCCGACAATGTCGGCGATCTTGACAGCCTTCTCGGCCGCATCCTCCAGGTCGTCAGCCACAATCATCTTGATGCCCGAATCAGCAATGATCTTGCGCGCAGGTTCCACGTTGGTTCCTTGCAGACGGATAATGACCGGCTTCTTCAGCCCCAGATCCTTGATAGCAGCCACAATCCCGGCAGCGATCACGTCGCAGCGCATGATGCCACCAAAAATGTTCACCAGGATCGACTTGACCTGGTCGTCGCTGTCCAGGATCTCAAACGCCTTTTTCACCTGCTCCTCCGAGGCACCTCCACCCACATCGAGGAAGTTGGCAGGCGAACCGCCATACAGCGAGATGATGTCCATCGTAGCCATGGCCAAACCTGCGCCGTTCACGAGGCACCCAATGTTTCCGTCCAGGCCGATGTAGTTGAGGTCGTAGGCACTAGCCTCCACCTCACGCGCATCTTCCTGTGTCTTGTCATGCTTGGCAAAAATCTCCGAGTGGCGGAAAGCAGCATTGTCATCATAGTTGAGCTTGGCATCGCACGCAAAGATCTCGCCTTCGCGGGTTTCGGCCAGCGGGTTGATCTCCACTAGCGTAGCGTCCACGCCAATAAACATGTTGTACAGGTTTCGAATCTGCGTCTCGAGCTTCTTCAGGACGTCGCCTTCCCCTCCCAACGCCTTGGCCAGACGCGATACCTGAGCGTCCGTAGGACCCGTGGAGATATCAATGTTCTCCTTGAAAATCAACTCCGGCGTGGCTTCGGTTACGTCTTCAATAGAAGTCCCACCCGCAGGCGACGCGACCATCACTGGCCCCTGCGCCGCGCGGTCCATGAGGATGGAAAAGTACATTTCCCGACGCATCCACACGCGCTCCATGAGGAAAACCTTGGCCACCTCAATGCCTTTTTCGCCCGTCTGTTTCGTCACGAGCGTCTCGCCCAGCATCTTCTTGGCAAGGTCCTCGGCTTGTTCAGGCTTGGTGCACATGTGCACACCGCCTTTGAAGCCGTTCTTGAACGTACCGAGGCCACGGCCGCCGGTGAGAGCCTGTGCCTTGATCACCACGTCCACACCGTCTAAATTAATACAGATATAAACACAAAGAGACCCGTGCGATTTTAGTCTCGGACCGCGATTTTCAACCAATCAGACACTGACATTTGTGTTTCGAGTCAGATTAAAAAAACACAGTGGGTGTTTTTTGTGCCCATCTCGACATTTCGACCCCTTCCCCTGCCCCTTTTCAGTTCCATCGAGCAACTTACCACGGTCGCCACGGATCGCGGTAAACGCGGCTTTGGCCTCAGCCGGAGTGTCGGCGGGGATGCCCTGCGGCGTGGCGACACCAAAGCCCTTCATGATCTCCAGCGACTGGAACTCGTGCAGGTTGAGACGACGCACGTGTGCGGGGCCTCGCGCGGGGAGCGCCATGAGTTTAGGGGTACGCAGGAGGGAGCCAATCATGGTTACAGCGTGTGAACTGAATAGGCGAGTGGCTTCAAGCGAGTTGAAAAGTGGGGGATTGGAGACGGGAGTGGGTGGGTGATAGAGCGTTTTTCTGAATCACACAGCGGGGGGGTTACTGTGTCTGTGTTTAATCGAGCGCGGTTTTTTACATAGAGTGGGTACGTACCCACAAAGTAACCATGATTTAACCGTGTGAGAGCTCCCCTGCGATACAATCGATCAGTGCGGATACTGAGCGTCATAAAATCCATTGAATCGGATAAAAATAAATCTTTCGCCACGTGCTGGCAGCCGCTACGAACACCGATCTGATTTTATCTCTCTTCCAATAGTCATACTTTGCCACCCCACGCATCTGCAGATAAGAATATGTGACCCTGAACGAAACAAAAGTCGACATCACCACTTCAGCCATCCCACCAATTGACAGCCGGAAGCCAAATGCCAACCCTCAACCGGTAAGATCGTACCAAAACCGGTATTTCCATCGCCAGCACATCATGGCGTCGGCCTCGTCCTTCACCGCCTCGTTGGCCGTGCTCCTTGCAGCCAAATACTGCCGTCAGCACCCGCTGTTTCACTGGCGAGAAGAAGCGCTGCCTTCTATCGGTCGTCGCGCAGAAAAGTACTGTTTTCGCGTCGAATTGCGCAATCTACAGCAAGAAACATGTGACGAGCTGGTGCTTGCGCTGTTTCCGGCGCAACTGAGTCTTGTCGACTTTGAAAAAGAAAGTACACGCTACCGTCTGAAAGCGCTGCTCGTGACGCTCAAGGTCGTGTTTGTTTCCGGCGCCGAAGCTCTTTATTGACGGAGCTATAAGCACTTGTCGACGTGTACCTGCTTTACTTACTGCTGCTACTTCAGAGACCTGACTAACTGGTTGACTGACTGGTATGGTCTTTTGCCATGTCTGACAGCACCCATACATTCTTCCAGTCATTGACATGGGGTACGTCAAGGAGAGACAAGCGCTGCTTCTGCTCCAGCCATTTGCAGCTCGGGGCAGTCTCAAGGACCTCATTTACCAAGTGGATGATCCAGCTAAGCCTTTTGACCTCAAGTACCGTCTCGAACAGGCTCATGCTCTTCCTTTTCGAGACATTGCCAAGTTTGCACGACAACTGTTGGAAGCACTGGCCGGACTGCGGCAGAAAGGTGTGCTGTGCGACCACTTGCGGTCGTCCAATGTGATGATTGACCGTGGCAATGCTCGAATTGCCGAGATTTTCACGCCGTTACTGGCGATTGATCGCGATAAAGACAGTCGCGCAGTCACCGTGGGTCTCGAGCAGCACGTGGACATTGATTTGCTGCTTTTTGGACACATTTTGTACGAAATGGCGACTGGGTTGGAACTAGCAAGTCCACAGCCGGAAGAAGGTGTGCTCGAGATGGTGGCACCGGAAATTGCTGAAGTATTGCAGGCGGTTTTCTTTTGTCCAGAAGTGCTCGCAAGTCCAGTGGATCCAGTTGAGCTTTGGCCAGGCGAGGGGAAGGAAAGTCGGACCGTGGAAAATGAGGACGATGTCGTGTCGGTTGGTGATGATGGTAGTAGCACGGGCAGTAGTCGCAGCAAGAAACACTTGTTTCTTGTCGATGTGGACAGAATGCTGGAAGACTTTTCGTTGTTTGCGATCGCTTGTGGTGTCCCGCCTATTCGGACATTGTTCTCTGGGTTCCGTCTGGATTCCGATATGAAGAGAACCATTAAGTATAGCATGCGGATCAACGCGAGCCGTAGTCAAGCACATATTGTACGCTACAACGACCAAGAGGCACTCTTGCGGGCTCGTCGACGAGCTGAACGTCGCGCGTATGTGGAGAGGGGAAAACAGCAACAGCGTATCCAGCAACTTACTCCGAGCAAGAACCCTACTAGCAAGGGCAATGCATACAGCATCAAGACTATGCCGTCTAGACAAAAGGCGTACCGTGCTGATAGCTTTCGGAAGCGTACCCAGCGCACGCTGTCCCGGTCTAGCAGTGACGTATCTAGCACGAGCGCTTCCATTGCCTAGTGCAGTAAGAACCAGGATGAGCACGGTGGTGAACCATGCTACAGATATGTTGTCTGTGGGATGGCAGCGCGTGTGACCTCAAGGCCGAGTCAAATGAACTTATCCTTGGTTTTATAACGATCGGAGATCGAATGCTGCGTTCCATACACATGCGAACACAGAGGTGGATGATCATCTGGGAGATCAACTCGACAGATTACGATTCACATTTGGTCAGGTTCGAGAAGTAAATAACGCCGACGACAGCAAGTGTTGCTTTTGCTGCATTGCCCAGCTTTTTGATATCGATGGGGGACCACATTTGAACATTGATGGGAGCTCTGGCAAGCATATTATTGCATGCAATGGCAGGTAAGGTGAGGTGTCTCGAGGCTGTGAAATTATGCTAGCAAATGCTGGCAGAAGCCATGGTTCGTATATTTGAATTGATAGAGCGTTGACGACATTTTTTTCACTTGATGTTGTGCTCACTTTTGCTCGTACTGTGTGATCTTTGTAGCCGCGCACTCACCTGATCACAGGTCGTCATTTCCACCCGGCAAATGGGTTTGCTCCATCGTCGTGCTTTCCTTCAGAACAACAAACAGCTCGCACTCGCCAGTGTTCACTAGTTCCTGCAAAAACTGGTAGCACTCGTGGTCCCCGTGAAAAGGCTCCGCAAACAAACAAGAAAAAAGAGTCAATACCGAAACAATCAATGAGTCTCAGCACTGTTGATGCGTCAACCCTTCAACGTCCATTTTACAGAAAGTCGTCATCGCACCATTGGGGTCGCTAGTTTCGAGTCCAGATTGTAGCAAACGCCTCGGATTTTCCGAATAGCAAACCAATGTCTAGACATCCAAAGACTGCTCCAAACCGTCGACAGCACGACATTGCACAGCAGTCCCTCCACTCGGTCCAAGTTGACCAATTTCTCATCCACTGGCCGTCGTTTGTCCACCCATTGCATCACGTACCCTAAGATTCATGCAGCCAAGTACATACTGCTCGTTAGTGCATCAAAGGTGGAAGCTTTGCGTATTTCACTGAAGGTGTTCTCGAGATCGTGTTTCTATCAATGTAGTCACTTCTTCTGCCACCTTTTTGGTGTAAGGCCAACGTCAGGGCATTGACGTCGTAATTGCCAATGCCCAATGGCGATTTATGGGCATTCCAGACCCAATTCATCAGTCCATTGCTCGCGCTTCGAGTCGCGAGCTCGTCGCAAATACCCTCGAGTGAGGCTTTGGTGTACATCGGCCCTACAGAAGTGGTGACAGGTTAATTCAGTTAGAATTTGGTTCATTTGAACGACACTGGTCGTTCTGATTTGACTTCTTTTCTGCTATGACTGCTAGTAGATGAGTTACGTCGTACCTTGAAGCACGTTATTCAGTGCATGGAGTCCGCAGCGACAAAGCGTCTGGCGCTCATGGTAAATGGCTTGATCCGTCATGCTTTTTATAGTCTCGAGGGACTTGTTTCTGGAGATTTTGAAAAATGCACGTACGAATACTCAAGCTGCGACGAGGAATTGCGTCCCATGACACAAATAATTTCGGGAAAACTCAGACCACCGGTCCACTTCAACATGTCAGAGGATGCCTCTGTTTTTTTGTTCGGGTTCGAACGATGCTAGCCGCTTGTGCTTAGATTGAGAGACGTCCTCGTCGTGGTTTGTCAGTAAACAGCACTTGAGCTTGTCGATAAGTCCTCATTTCTGGATCTTGAGCCGGTCAAGTTGTCGTCTCAATGCCAACGAAAGATAATTCCGGAACAAAGCGTACTGACCATCACAAACGTCAAGAGGGTTTGCATCGGGAAAGCATCTCGCTTACTGGCAAGCTCGACAATGCGAACCTATTGTCAGCTCACCGACGCTTGCCACTATGCACAAACTTGCTCTGCGTGATGCTCATCCGTCATGTTTGCAAACCAGCGCGATCGTCAATGTTGAGCTGGGTGCGCGACGGGCATACCTTGACACATTGCTCTATATGCACATTGTATGCATATAATATAATCGCTGATGTAGCACCGCACATCGACGGTTATCACCAGTAAGCCAGCTTTCGACTTCACAGACAGGAGTCCAGGGATGTATCCTTGTTGCGAAAAGACCGCCCACGGTTTCGTTCACTCTGGTAGCACTAGCAACATCGATGACGCTTGACAAGTTGCTCGGCAGATGCATATCGTCACGTCCGCAACATACCGAAATCATCTCGAGTTCTGCGCGCACGAGGGTAACGTTGACAAAGGGGATCAAACCCAGTAACAATCCGGAATACGACAACGATGACTTGCGCTCGAGATTAGCTTCACAGGTCCCAGCAACTGTTGTGCCGTTGAGTGATACCCAGCTCACTAACCTCAAAATCCACAACGCTCACAGTCGCCAGGGCCTGCTAGCTTTAATGACTGAACACTGATCACACACCAGTTGTATGCTCGCCTGCATATTGCAGCGTACAGTGTGCTAACACCTTATGGATGCGTGGCCATCGACAGTCTCACTATCGCCATCGTACAGACCGTGGGGGTTGGACATGAAAGCATTGCTGGTGTACAAGATGTGCGCTGCCAAGCACGTAATTGCCATCGTCTAATTTGATTCCTCTCTTGCATCCGAGAAAACGCCTGAGATCGTCATCGAGAACGTATTATTGCAGTGGCCATGAAAAGCAGCAGCGTGTGTCCGTGGACCGTGAAAGCCACGGTTTGCGCATCACCTTTCAACGATGCTCATCATAAGAAGCAAAACCATCATCACCGGCTTTGCATACTCTCCGAGCTTTTCTTCATTTGGTGTCCACCCACGCACGACCCAAACCTTCTCATAAGCGACCTCGTCAGTGTCCACAGCCCTGATTTCTCGATGCTGCATTCGGCTATGCTCAGCTACGCCATAGACCACATGTACCTTAACCGTATCGACGCCCGGCTATACGTAGATGTATGTCATGCTTTGCTTCCACGAGGACTGGAACACCAACAAACATCCGAGGACCGAGCAGTAGCTACTTCAAAAGCGACAGCTCGTAGCTTGTCACATAACCGGCCGGCTTCGTCAGCGCATCCTAAGCTGGCTCGAAGCAACCAGTACAAATCTCGATGTCTTCCGCGCGACGTATGGCTTGTGTTTCTGCAATCGAGACGTACATACCGGACTGTTACTGCTTTGGCTATTCACATCTGTCAACTCCACGTCATCCACTTGCCGCATTTGCTTCATTCGCACCTCCGTACGAAACCACGAAACTGCCTCCGCTGCAAGTGTAAATCTGATGATCTCGTGCTTCGCTCGACTGCTCGCTCGAATTTTCTGTTCTCGTAGCTGCACCATGTGCAGGCATTCAGATCGGCGGTTCCTGCCACCCTAAATTGCTCGCGTAGCACCTTTATAATCGCCGAAGACGCATAGGGCAGATGAGTCATTACGTCGTCGCGGTCTAGACATCGACCCTGCACGACAGCTTGAGATAGACGGATTCTCACAAATACTAGATCCAGAAGCCTTAGATGAGAGCAGAGATCGATTGCAGCGCTCAGCAGACACGGCACGTGGTCCAGCAACATACGCCGATGGTTTGCGAAATCACTTGACGGTAGACGCCTACCCATCCGATGCACCTGGAGCACTAGGAATGCCTTCACCTCACTGCCATGGGTCTTCAATAACACTTTTAACGTTTTGGAGATCTTGAGAACAAATGCTTCAATGGCGAAAACTTCACCTTCGTGCAAACAGCTGCAATCAAATTGCTCGTGATCTCGTTATGACGCAACGGGATGTCGCGAAGCTCCATGCTGGATTCGCAAATCACACAAAGCAGCAGCAGTGTGTTCGTTGCTACTACTGGTTCTGCTTTATCCACGGTAGCAGCTCGCAAAGCAGTCAACACGTTGGACACTGTGCGCACATCCAGATAGAGTGCAGCTGGAAGCTTTCCAGCGAACGCTGGACCGAAGGATGGCAGACCACTAGCTTGCGACGTAGTTGTTTAGTTGCCCGACTCGAGCTGCTGCATCGTTGTTTTTATCAGCTGCTGGAAGAACTTCTCCTGCTCGTCTTGCTTGCTCGGTTTATTTGACTGCTTTCCCTGCTTGCTCTGTTTGCCACCGCTTGCGATAGGCGAATCGATCGCTACCACAGCGGCCCCAACACCGTAGAAGCCTGGATTCTTAAGCACACGCTGGAACAGCAAGCTCCAGCTCAAGTAATTCATCACGTCTTTAGGGGTGTGGAGCAATCCGGCGGCAATCTCCGCGTTCGAGTGGTTGGTTGGCTAAGATGCGGTGCATTGCGTTCCCACCCAGACATGACTCCACAGCCGAGAATCGTGTAGAAATCGCTGTGTGACGTTCTTCTTGCTTTGTTTTACTAACACACACGCAATCCCCTTGTCATCCAGTAGGGGGCGGCCATCACGGCAATCATCTGCAGCAAGTCGCTCAAAGGTTACGAACGGTATCGTCCATTCTGAAATTACTCCGCGCCTTTAACCACGACAAGGTGCGTAGGAAGATTTACACCCCACCCTAGAATTGACGTCGAGATCGCCACTTGTACGAGACGACCCATATACAGCTCTCGACTACTTCACGGTCTCGACGCGCCAACCCAGCATGACAAAGGCCAATACTGAAGGAGAGCTTGTACTTCAGAGTCTCGTTCGCGATCTGGTTCAACTGGCAAATCAAACCAATGACTGCTTCATTTATTTTCCAGGAAACGCTTGCTGCCATCACCATTCTCATCCAACGTAACGCAGAACTGGATCAAGTCCAGCGCTGCCAAATTAGTTTGAGCCTTAAAAGACACAAAGAGAAGCACAGGCTTGTCAGGAGAATGCGTCTTGATAGCCATGAATGTCGGCTTGTTCATTGCCGCCATGCGCACCCCGTAATGACACTCCGGAAAGCCCTGAATGTGCACATCCCATAGGCACCGGACGAACGGACGTTCGAATGTTGTATAGTTCACTACCGCCAGTGCTGTTCAGTGATTCCACCCAGCTATTTTCCCATATCGTTTGCATTTGCTAGAGCCGCGGACAGCCCGTTTGACAAATCGGAGGACTAGACTGCTTGAACTGTCTCAGGACAATTAATCAGTACTTTCAGCGCCGCAAGGCGTGGCGCCTCACCGACTGAATGAACCTTTTCCACAATAGCGAGTGCCATTCGAGCCGTCCAAGCGCGACCGATTGTGCTGCTGCACGTGCAAACGTCAAAATCTCGGCAAGTGGATGTGCACACACACGACCGTATCCGTAGTTGGTTTTGTGACAACCGTTCGAGTTTCTTCCACCCAAGTAACATCTTCTGTGCTTCTTCCATTCGTAGTCGTCCGACCATGCTGCAAATCCTCGCCATTCTCAATTTATTCGCCTATGTGACATAATCAGCGAATTAGACAGCCTTCTCGTCAGCGTCCTTGAGGTCACATCAGTCAGAATCATCTAAGAATTTCGATTCAACAACGATCTTGCGTGCAGCTTCCACGTTGATACCCTGCAGACGGATATTGACTGCGGTGATCCACCTCACAGCGAGACAATCTACATAGTAACCAATATCAGCCCCCATCACCCCACCCTCTTGCCGTTCTCAAGGCATACAATGCTTTCATCCAGACAACTCCAGCTGATTGTCGTAGGCAAAAAGCTCCAGCTCACGTGCGTCGTCCTGCACCAACGTGATCAGTACGTGATCCGACGTGTCGTGAACTCACGCAATTGGCTATGCTGCCACTCTCTGTGGACGGACAAGGAATCCACTGGAACCCCTGACCGATAATAAACGAAATGGGGCAGCTCATCACTGCAGCTGTAATTCGCGCTTGGACCGACCACAGTTTTTCATCAGATGCGAGCGAGTGATACTAAGATGTCGCATACCTCTTGAGCTCAAATTGTTACAGCAGGCCAGCTAGCTGGATCGTTCGAGCTCTGTAGTACACTCGCCACACTTTGTACGAGACAACTTCGTGCTTAGTTTTTACACAGCGTGTCTTATTAGAAGTCTTTTCTACAGAATATGAGAGAAAAGAGATGCATGATCTTATAATGACTGAGCAATTGAATGTCGGGGCAGTCAAGTAACGCTGCAGAACATGTCCCATATGTAATGATATGTAACGTTTGTTTACGATATGATGTCTCTCATGCCGAGCTGTTTCGCTCGAGCGTGCTGGTTCTTGCGAATAACTGATGACACCTCATCCAGATCTGACTAAACGATACGCTCGTCTCTATATGAGCGTTCGAAGTACACCCGCAAAAGCAGGCAGCACTTAGGTGCATCTTTTGCATTAACAGGTGCTTGATCTTCGTCGTCTTTGACTTCCGCGGGCTCTGCTTCGACTTCAATTAAAACATCTTGTTCGTCGTGAAATCTTCTCGTGGTCCGTCGATCACAACGTCATCCTACACGCTTACTGTAGCGGATCTACCACAGCTCTAAAGTCAGAGGAAGACTTTACGGGTTAAGCCAGAGGCTTACGGCTAACAGCCAATTAGTTGTGAGGGCTAGTAGCCGATTAGTTCTAAGGAACGAATGTAACGGGGCACCCTGAAGCTTGTACTGGTGACAGTACAAGCTACTTATTCTGATAACAGAATAAGGCGGTGCCTCGTAACTTCACGTACACTCGTACGTGCAGAGGAAGACGGTAAGAAGAAGCGAGTACTCGGTTAGAGTAAAAAGTAGAACTGTATTTATAATAGTTAATGTCTGCAATAAATCACTATTTATCTTCATCTAACTATGTCTAAATACAAATGTGTAAATCAATTATCTGCTCACCACTCATTGCGTGCGTCCGTCGTGGCGCGTCTTCGTTGGTTGATATAATGGCCTATATCAACCAATTAGGAACTACTTGTAAGTGCTACAGAATATTTGTCCTTATGACAATATTCTGAGAATAAAACTCTTACAGTTATATTCTATTAACAATTTCTTATAAATTGTTATGTAACGATTCACCCCGTTACATCACCCCTCCTTAACCATCAGTCACTTTAGTGACTGATTGACTAAATGGATACTCGTCCCAAATCATTTGGGACAGGGTTTGCACTTGTTGGTCCGCGTCCACTTTCCAACATTTCATCGCATGGTAAACAAGCCCATGCGATGCGCGAGCAAGGCCGCCGAGAGCGCGTCTGCACGTCTCTGTGCGGACGCCGAAGCAGAAACCACAGCAACTGATGTCCCATCGGTTGCTGAAGAGACCCAGCCTGTGTCACTTGGTGACGCAGGCGCTGGTCATGAAGACACTCGTGTCTTCACAGAGTACGAGCTCGGTGTCTCGTACTCTCCTGATACGGATGACGGATCCGTATCGACGGCAATTGAATCCAAGCCGCCTGCCAAGCGTGGCATGGACGATGCTTTGCGTCGCAGCATCTTTGGTTCATCTGATGAGTCAGATGAACCATCGCCGAAGCGAAGGCGCTCGAGGTCGCGAGACTCGGGCGCTAATAGTGGTGTCGGTTCTCCAATGGACACCACTTCACAGCGAGGTGCCAGTACTTCTGTCGGCACGTCGCAGGAAGAGCGGGACCGCAATGTGTTGCGTCTCGCTCCAGAAAAGAAGGCATGGATGCCTCCAAAATCTGTCATGGATCACTTGTCGGCGACGACGAGTGATCGTTATCGAACACGATTGTTCGATTCGTCAAGGATCCATCACCTTGACCCCAGCGCGAAAGACTATCGCGCTGAACATGAGTTCTTCATCGATGCTTTCTTCAGACATCGATGGTACAGTGGGAATCACAAACGTGATGGTCCCTCACTACTTCAGGCGTGGAACGCCTACATCCATAACCTCGAGGATGTAGGTCGTGACGCTTGGAACGACAAACTTATCAAAGCTCGTGATAAGTTTGAAAAGCGAACCCCGACAGGTGCACGCTACAAGCTGCATCGTCTGTCAAGGGAGAAAGGATTACCCTGCCTCTCTTGGGGAGACTCGTGCCCATGTTGTGTGAACAACTCTGCACGAGCACCTAAGGAGGCTTACCTCCTTACCAGCCCGTGGTGGCGCGTACGTGTCTCTACTGAGATGTACGAAGGGATTGACAACCTGAAATCCCTTTACGACCGTGCCGGGAAGACTTTCTCCGGCGGTCCTTCTGCGGCACAGGATGTGCCGCGTCGTACTGCTCGACCAGACCCAGTACGTCAACCATCAATCGGGAGCGGGGCTCCCAAGAATCCCAGGACGGGGATAGGCGCCACCGGACGAGGTAACTCGTCCGACGTCCGTTCACGTCGCGGTGGTTCAACAGCTGCTCAACTAGATAGCGCTGGCCACCGCGAGAGTCCTCTAATGGAGGTGGAGGAGGAGGAAAGACGCTCTCCACACGATCATGTGGATCGGTGTGTTCCCGAGAGCTTCTTTGATCGCGTAACGCAAGGGTTACGCGACGATCTCGAGCATGAGCGGAATAGGCGTCTCCAGATGGTGGACACTGCCTCGAAGCATCGAGCTGAGTTTGCCTTTGCTCAGCTTGAGAACGAGAGAGCTCTGACATCTCTTCGTGACGAGCTAAGGGTAGCTCGTGGGATTGTTGATCGGTCTCGGGATCAGATAGCTGCTCTTCAGACCCTTGTTGATGCCCACCATCGGGAGCACAAGGCTCTCTGCGAGATGCTTGAGCGCAAGGGCGTTCTTCATCGGAAGAAGCAGCGTACTGATGGTACGGCTTAAGCCGACCAACGTAAAACGTGGGATGCGTTCGCATCTTACGTGGTAACTCGATCGTGTATGCATTGCCTAGGCGGTGCAATACACGAAATGGGCCAATGTACTTGGGTAGTAGTTTACTGCTACCCAAGTTAGTCACTACATGCTTTGGTAGATTAACCGTAGACAGTAGGACTAAGTCACCTTTATTAAATAAAAGAGTGTTTGCCCTTCCATTCTTGTCAGCGTTTTGCTTTTTGCTTATCCACCGCTTCGGCGATGGAGTCTTGCACAAAACGGACTACCGTTTCACGAGCCAGTATGAACTCATCTGATGACTCGTTAGCTTCAGTGTGCTGTGAGCGCACTGCAGCAACAACAACCTTTTCTTCAGTGAGGGCTTCCGCACTCTCGCTGGGATCATTGTCTTCAGTGAGGGCTTCCGCACTCTCACTGGCATCATATTCTTCGATATCGATGTTATCGATATCGGCATCAAACGCAATGACTTCTTCGTCAGAGCGTGATGAGCGTGAAACAAATCGGTTTTTGCTCGCGCGAGTCCCTCCCCCCCTTGAACCAGAGTTACACTCTAGTAAGGTGGGTACACGCGGATGGCGCAAGCCATTCACGTAAAACGGTGTATGTGTCGTGGACGCATGCACCGAGTTGTTGATGGCAAACTCTACCATTGGTAAAAACTCACTCCAACTCTTAAAGGAGTGTACGTATCCTCGAAGTATCTCTTCAAGGACACGATTGGCACGTTCCGTCTGACCATCTGACTCTGGATGATCAGATGTTGACATCTTCAAGCGCGTTCCGAGTGATTTGAACACGGAACGCCAGAAATCAGCAGTGAATCGTGGATCTCTGTCTGATACGAGTTCACGGGGCAACCCATGAAGTCGGAAGATGGTGTCAATAAAGACACAAGCACAGCCACTTGCCGTGATTGTCTCTGGTACAGCCACAAGGTGTACCATTTTGCTGAATCTGTCAACAAATACGAGAATACCCGTATTCCCGCGTGCGTCTTTGGGTAACCCGAAGACGAAATCCATTGAGATGGATTCCCAGCACTCAGCCGGAACCGGTAGAGGCTGTAAAGGGGCACGCAGTGAAGGACTTGACTTCACTCGTTGGCAGACTTCGCATGCGCGAACATACTTTCGCACAAACTGATACTGGCGGGGCCAGTAAAAGTCTCGACTTACCGTGAGATATGTTTTCTCTCGGCCACGATGTCCTCCTATAGGAGCATCGTGATACTCGAACATGATCCGCAAACGCAGATCAGTATCATCTGGAATGACAACACGTGGTGTGTCACCAGAAACGGCTGTATAATACAGTAAACCGTTACGAGTAGTGTATCGATCTGATGCAGATCGATACGCAGGCGACAATCGTTTCAACGATTCTCGGGATGGTTGGGAGAGATGTGACAACAACTTCACTATCTCACCATCTTGGGCGTATGCCCGCCTACATCATCATACAACGTTGTAGATGGAACTGAGGACGTCATAACCGCAACAGTGACTGTCTCACTGTTGGGTTTCGCGACTGTTTCAAAGTCGGGACGACGTGAGAGTGCATCAGCGACGACATTAAGTCGTCCTGGTTTGTACTCGACCGTAAAGTTGTATTCTGCAAAGAATGACAACCACCGCGCCATTCGTTGTGAAAGGTGCGGGTTGTTCACTGCCGTGCGTAAGGACGCATGGTCAGTGTAAACAACGAAGGGTCTATCTCCTAATAGATAGACTCTGAACTTCGCGAGTGCATACTTCATGGCAAGGAGTTCCTTGTCATGCACTGGATAGTTCCGCTCAGCTGGTTGCAGCTGACGCGACTGATAGCAGACGACGCGTTCAACGCCTTCAAGGTCGTACTGCATTAATGCACAGCCGATTGCGAAATCGCTGGCATCACAGAACATGAAATGGCCTGTCCTGATCGGCTATTGCTAGGACTGGGGATGTATCAAGCTCTGCTTGATACCCTCAAAGAGGTTGACATTCAGCGTTCCATAACCACCTCTCGTTCTTTTTCAAAAAGAGAGAGGTGCACAGTCATCTCGGCGTAATTGGTGAATACTTATGCAAATACGCGCTAGAAGGAATTTTCGAAGACCTTTGAATCGACCGGCACAGGCCAGTCGGTGATCGCCTTGATCTTTTCGGGATCAGGACGTACACCGTTCTTACCAACGATGCACCCAAGAAGTGGTATTTCGCTTGCTGCAAATATACACTTCTTGAGGTTTGCATACAATTGATGCTTTCGCATGATTGTAAGAACTTGTCGGACGTGGTACCTGTGAACCTCAACGTCCGATTTTCCATCCATAGCTCGACTATGGATGAATACGTCATCGAAATAACTCGGCGCGAATTCTCGTACTGGCCTCAACAGATGTGATAACACCTGTTGAACGTGGCAGGGGCATTACTGAGCCCTTGTGGCATTACTAGCCATTCCCAGAGCATGCCACTAGGCGTGCTAACTGCGGTATAGGGTATATCCGTTCCGCATTAGGATTTGATAGAAGCCATCCATCAAATCCATGGACGAAAGATGGTACTCTTTGACATACCATCAATGATTACGTCCTTCCTCGGTATCGGCGTCTGAGCCGGTACCGTTGCAGCGTTCAATTTGTTGAACGCGTGCATATCCGCCACCCTCCTGTTGCTTTTCGCACACAGAAGGTCGGAGAGCTATGTGGGGAAGTTGATTCCCTCACATGGCCCGCTGCTAAACGATCGCAAAGAACTTGTCGATCGCAAGTACTGTTCACGAGGCAGTGGCCACTGCTTCATGAAAGTACTTGAGCCTGGTTTAAGCTCGACTTCGTGTCGAATACCTTTATCCTTCGGTAATTCGCACGGAACAGTTTCAGGGAATACATCCTTGAATTCAACCAAATCCTCATAGAGAGGTTTTCCTTGAGCGATTCCCATGATTGGGACTCATATCGCTCAATTCGTGTCTTTCATCTAGGACACTCGTCATAGATGAACTACTGAGAACTCTCTCGTTCTCAGTAAACACTGTTGCTGACCTTATGTCGGTTAACACTGTCGTCAGGACGAGTATGCAGATCTGCTTGACTTTGCCACTACGCAGATCACGCAAGAACCTTTTATGTTCGAGGTTGGCAACTGAGTGATCTCCGAAGTTAATTCGGAGGCAATCAGATCAAGTGTATAAGCGCCTAACATGATCCGTTATTGATATGACATTCAATGTCTCTGTCATTTCTGGGGACTTATTCCTCAGGCTTCGAAGGACTTATTCCTTCGTCTCCCGGGGACTTATTCCGCGGGTTTCGGGGAACTTATTTCCGCGTATTTGTAATCTTGGGACTTATTCCTTTACTTCCTCTAGCTGGGGTTGCAACCACAGCGAGATCTCTACGAAAGACTCTCCAGTCGATCTAGGATTATCGTTTCGCTTAACCTGAGCGATCGATTGTTTTCTTCTAGATGTTCCCCTCTAGGGATACATCTTTGTCCCAGTCCACCCGACTTATTCGAGTGGTGGACCTTCGGGCAGCCTGTGTTTCTCACAGCGCGGAACTTTGCCGAAGTGTAACCGTTTGGTACACTAAGGTTTTGTGAGTCGTACTAACGACCGTACCACAAGTGAGGCCATCGCACTCACTGTAGTACATCCACACGCTTGTGGAGTCCAAAAGTTCATCAGATGGCCATCTGATGAAAAGCGGCAGGCATCGTTACTGTCCGATGTTGCCAGTTTACCCGTGGTTCGTACCTTCTGACCAGGTATTCCAAGGATGACATCAAATTTGTCATCCAAATCAATACGATAAAGTCATCGTCGTATTGGGTATCTTCTAGGTATAGTGAATTTCACTATACGTTCATAGGTTACGGATGGCTGTGAAGAGTACGTCATCCTCGTAGGAGGTGTGTCACATTCACTGAATTTAAAGTGACCATCTTCTAGGATTGGCGTCCACAAAATTGTTGGAGCCCCAAATCGACTAGGCTCGAAGAAACTTATTGTCACTTATTCAAGTAATAGTAGATCATTACTAGAAAAATGTCTTGTGTTGGGAAACTCATCAAGAGGCCTACAAATTCTCTTGACGTGTGGATCAGTAGGTGTCCCACTACTGATCTGTCGTTTTTGAGGTCCATCCGTTGTTGGTCTTTGCCAACTGACTCGTCCTGCCCCTTTCTCAGGGTGGAGTCACTAAGTGTCGAAACTCGTAAGTAGTGTCCTGTTTCTGAATCTGTTATTTCAATCTGATAGAGAACCTTTCTCTCTATAACAAGTTCCATGATTTATATTCGGTTGAGATAGATAGACAGACTAATTTGCCAATGAACAGATCAAGAAGTTTAAACAAAACAAACCACGGTTGTGCAATAACACCACCCCAATAATATACTAATCAAATGAAAAAAAAAAGGAATTTGATCAATTGATGCAAATAATGATAGTGTGATGACCCCTTAGTCATATTCACAATTCAAGAGGGTTTTCGACTCTATACTGAATGTAATTTCAAGTCGGAAGTGAAAAATGTGTCCAAAGTTCAAACTGTTACTTTTCTCAACAACTCTGTTGTTGAAACTGTTGGTGAACAAGGCTACTTTCTCGCTCAGTCAAGTTCATTTGGATGAACTTGGATAGTAATGTTGGGGTTCTATTAGCTCTAATGACTAACAAGGATGCATGGTCGAACCCATTTTAAGCATCCATTCGACATTCAAATGGGAGTAGCGTCAGGTAGGTGAAAGTTTGTCATTTCATCATCAACATATTCATGTTGGATGTGAACGCGGTCCTTGGAGACTACAAGTGCTACAGGTGTAACGGCCTGAAGCTTGTACTGGTGACAGTACAAGCTACTTATTCTGATAAAGAATAAGGCGGTGCCTGTAATTCACGTACACTCGTAGTGCAGAGGAAGAGGTAAGAAGAAGCGAGTACTCGGTTAGAGTAAAAAGTAGAACTGTATTTATAATAGTTAATGTCTGCAATAAATCACTATTTATCTTCATCTAACTATGTCTAAATACAAATGTGAAATCAATTATCTGCTCACCACTCATTGTGGTCGTCGTGTCTTCGTTGGTTGATATAATGGCCTATATCAACCAATTAGGAACTACTTTAAGTGCTACAGAATATTTGTCCTTATGACAATATTCTGAGAATAAAACTCTTACAGTTATATTCTATTAACAATTTCTTATAAATTGTTATGTAACGATTCACCCCGTTACAACGAATATATCAAGTTGAAGAGTCGGCTAGTTCGTCGGAACTTAGCGCGGACTCTATGAGCTATTAGCTCAGACTACTGTAGTTCTAAGGAACTACACGCACAGTGCGAAAGGGGAATACAGGAGTCTAAGGACTCTCTAACCCACGACAGTTCTACGGAAACATCAAGCGCAACGTGCAAAATGGTGGAAGTCTACGGACTTCTGCTGAAAATGAGAGCTAAATTTATTTAGATTTTATCTCAAGGAAAATTCTACTTTAAGCACCCTAGATCATACTAAACTAGAAATAGTACAAATAATAGTATCCGAACTAAATGGATGCTTGGCACATCACTCAGTCATCAAATGATGACGGTACAAAGACTTCCACGGTAATTACCGTAGCTCAGAGAATACCGACTAATCGGCACTCTCTATTGATATCTAATCTAAGGCCACACTTGTCTCCCATATTACCGATGGGAGATCTTCAACCAATTCAGCCGATGGATTGTGTGACCCCTTTACACCCTCCCTCACCAGGCTGACGTTACCACAAAACGTCACTCGACTTGTCTCCTCATCGAGGTTGTTACTTTGTAACTTGTCATGATGGACCGACCTGGACACCTAACGGAAGATAAGGCTCTAGCCGAATTCCTTGGTGTCGAGGAAGTGGTCGATAGCAGTGCCAGTAGTACCGCCACCCAGGAGGAGGAGCAATCCAACCCAGCACA